GTCCCTGGGCTGACTCCTTGCATGTGGACGGACAACGTGCATTTTGGCATTTCACACCCTCCTGACGTCTTCGCGCCATTTTAGATCCTCGCCAGAAGTACGCAACAGTGTTCAACTCGGTCTTGGAAGGGCGGAACCACTCGAGCATATCGTCCCGTGAGCAAGCGCCGAAGCAACGTTCCCACCACAGCCCAGGGAGCCTCATGGTCAGCTCCGCGGTTCCGACCTTCGAATAGACTCTTTATCATCTCCACACAGATAGAACACCATGGCAATCGTCTCAAAGCTCATGAGCTCACCTGAGCTCACCGCAGAAGAAGCGCTTCCCGAATGTGGTTGATCATTCAGTTCCATGCCGAGAAGCGAGAGGAAGCAAGAAGCTCAACGGGTCTCATTTCGTCGAGCACAAGAAGGTTCAGAGAAGCCTGCGATAACAGGGGCTCGACAACGTGTGATATACAAGTGTCCCTTTCACGTTCGACCCAAACCGCGAAGGGTCTTGAATTCAGTTGGAGCTCAAGCGCTCATATTTAAGCCTGGCCTGTCTAATCTATCATAGGTATTTTTAGATTATGAGAGCCCATAGGCGTATGCAAAGTTTGGGTTCGATATCATCTTGAAGACTAATCGACATAAGCCAACGCAAAGTCCTTAAACCATACATACTGATCCCTCGGTGTAGCATACTTGTCATCGTGACCGCCAAAGAACGTGCTAAAGAAGATCCCCGAAAAGCCAATCGTGTTGCCCAACCGTTGAGGAGCTGCAGCAAGAATCGACATCCTCACATCTTCTTCCAGGTCTTCATGTCGATTCGAGTTATGGTCGACAGGCCGTTCAAGGAAAGCCTGGCCGGGAGATAGCAGAACCTGCGTCTCATCGGATGTTTGGACAAAGTGAGGCGTGGGGGGAGCTCCGGTGAAGCCTGGAGGTGAAGACGTCGACGTAGGGGGTCCCCAAGCCTCCGTGACCGTCCTCTCCCCTGTGTCCCTTTGAATTAACTTTCCGATCTGACTGAGCAAGGGACCCAGAATGTCCCCAAACGGGTCGTCGCCGTATGCAGGCCTCGTGGGCTTCGGTCCTGCAGGCTTCTTCGTCATCGTCGGTGGTGTCGCAGGGGGTCTGGGAGCAGCAGGAGGTCGAGGTACCGACTGGTGGAGCAGGTGCACCTGGCCATAGCACATCGCGATAAAATACATCCGTGCGTTCCAGCACCTTTCGCCCATTGACAACCAGGCGGAAGACGCCGTCTTGCTTGCCTGGGGTGTTGAGAGAGACGGTTTGCTCGACTGTCGTCCATGCGCCTGGGATCCATTTGAAGGACCCACGACCGATGGAAAAGCCGTATGCTGAGTTGCACTCTGATTGAGGATCAGAACACAGGGCCTTCGTTTGCTTTTCCTTCGAGGCGTACTGTTATCGAAGTTGGTGAGCGAACGTGGTTCCTACAAAGAAAGACGGCACATACCAAGTACAGCTCCCCAAGACCTCCCTGCCTCCACATCAGCCGGGTACTGAAGCAATCGAGCGCGGCATTCCCTCCCGAACACCCCGTATGTCCTCCATACAACCCGGGCAACTTGCCAGCCAGAACCCACGTAAAGTCTTTAGGAAAGTACACGCTATAACGCAGCGTCACCGTTCGAGCCGTATGCACATCCAACGGCGACGCGTAAAATTCCATGCCGCCCTGTGGCTTCCTCCCCGGGTTCACAGAACCTTTGGGATAAAAGAGTTGGAGTGAGACTTCGTCTGGATGCCATGTCGTGATGGGTGGGCCCTGGTTGTCGAGTGAGGATCGTCGACTTAAGGAGGAAGCGTCTGTGGATTGGATTTTGGGTGAGATGCCAGTGATGAGTTTGAGGTTGGCACCACCGTAGCTTTGGGTAACGTTGAAAGGGGTGAGGTCTTTCAGTACCCAAGGGCTCGTCCACGTTGCGATTCCAGGTAGGTTGGGTAGGTGACCTCGCGACGGAGGAACTGGCCTCGAATCCTGAGGAGAATCTGTTGGGATAGGAGAGGTGCCAGGTGTCACAATGACGGTGGAAACGACGGTGACGGTGTTGGTCGTGGCTACGGTGCTGATCTCGATATCTGGAGGGAGAGTGACAGAGACCGTGAAGGTGGAGGGAGGAAGTCGTGACAGGAGGGTAGTCGTGGCTGTCTCAGTCACTGTGGTATATAGAACAGAGGGTCCGGAGGTGGAAAGCGTTGGTCCCGAAGACGACTCTTGAGCGTGGGATGGTGGCATCAGGAGAAGTGGAATGGGATCGCTATCGTCTCCTGCTTCTTGTAGTGTCTGCATTGCGGTTCCCTTGGATGAGTCGTCTTCCTTGAGGAACAAGCCAGCCCGACGCTGGAGAGGGGAAGACGACGGAGCTGCCTTGACAGCCATCAAAGCTGCAAAAAGAACGGTCAATACGGCCACCATAGTGCAAACGAGGTCCTTGCATGAGGCCAAGTTACATGGCATGAGGAAGAGATGAAGAACGTCGAGGGTGGCGCTGAAATGTCTCCTCGCATTTCAAAGAGACCTAGTCCTTTGGAATGCTTGCCAATCTGTTTCAGGTCTGGAAAAAGGGGGGGCAATCACATTCTAGGGGCTTCTAAGTAAATATCGCAATCGTCCTGAAGGAAATGGTTAGCGAAGCCTTCCCTGGAACTGTAAGTGGCACGCACCAATGGTGAATATGCTACAAAGCTACATGTCCGTGATATATCATCAGAGAGTCCAGTACAAGATATGCAACACAACAGAGATCGGCAGTCGGAAGTTCAGCAAAGCCACGATAACCCATGATACATACAAATTAAGCAGTTCCGTTCTTAGCAGTCTTGGTAACCGAGTCTATCTCATGCTGCAGAGCGTGATGCAAGTGACGAGTCCACTGATTGAACAGTGCAGGAGAGCAATCTATAAACGGGTCAACACCGAGCCGCGACGATGAAAAACGTGATATACTCACAAGACAAGCAGTCCGCTAGGGGATCTCGATGAGCATCCGGACGCTGGAGTGCCTGGTTCCAGACATCCAGATAGTACCACTTGGCGTAGATCTTGGTGTACGGATACGGCCTAGCCAAAGCTTGCTTCCTCTCCTGCTCCAGCCTCACAATCGCTCTCCTCCAGAGATCATTATGCACAGAGAACAGGTCCCAATCCTGTTTCCGCTTCTCTTCCCTCTCTTCTTCCGTAGTGACGGCCTGGAGGAGGCGGCTGATCACATTCTTCTCCATCGTTTCCGCCATTCGTCCAGACTTGTAAGGTGCTGTGCGGGTGTAGCACTTTGGGTGTCCTGGAGCTGTGGCACGGTAAACGATGGAGAGGCGAGAGACGGGCTTCAGCTGTTCACTCATGACTCGTAGCATTTGGCGATAAGCTTCGGTGAGGTAGTTTTGCTCGATAGATGGGGTGTCCGCGTGATTTGAGCAACGAGAGCTCCAGTCTAGACCACTTTGTGAAGCACGAGTCAGGGCTAGCCGTTTTAGAGGACTGAAGAGCTTACGTGGATGCCAGTGTTCAGAAGTAGAACCGTATCTTCGGGAACCAGATCCTTCTCCCCATTGACAGAAGAGGCCATTTGCTCAACCAGTAACTGGCCAACTCTGCATCCTCGGCAATTCTGTTTTCCAATTCTCGCCCTTGCCCGTTCCTAATCGCTGAGAAATGATTTTGAGGTCCGCATCATTCACCAGAAGGCTGTCCTCGATCATCGTCAAGATGGGGCGTTTCAATCTTGATGGGGGAACTCCAGAGCGCATCGCAAGTGAAGCCGTCAGAGGACCATCGGATGCAAGTGTATACTGATGCACGAGTTTGTTCACTGCCTGCGATGGTAGTTTGGAAGGACCTTTGCAAGCGTATGCCACCCTGTTCCAGGAAAATTGCAAGGCTCTCAAAGTGATCTTTGAAGAGGCATCTGCGTGAGGCTTAGCCGACAATCCGCGGGATCAACATTTTCTCTGCTCACCTCCCTACTGAAATGAGGCCTCCTGGACTCCGCAGGAGACGCAAAGCAAACTCCTCTGGGTTCCAGTCCTCCAGTTTGCCCTTGTATGGTGTCCACACCCAATTCATAATATCGAGCAGACGTTTGGCGTTGGATTTTTCCGTCGTTGCTCCCCGGAGTCGGGTCGCACTAGGACATCCCTTGTAGGGCTTCAACTCGTCAACGCTCTTGAGCGGGGGGTTTCTGGGCTTCCAGGTGCCCTTGAAGCAACCGGGCCCAGCACATAGCTCCGATCCAGAAGCATCCTCTTGTTCAACCTCGACCGCTACATCCTCGTCGACAAGAGTCCCTCCGGAAGCCCATTTGCGCAGCCCCTCCGAGTGCTGCGAGCGAGAAAGGACAAGGAAGAAGAAAAGGACCAAAATGGCAGTCCCAAAAACCACTGCAGGTCGTAGCCGTCGAGTCATCGTCCAAGCAGCATATGAGAGTCGAACGAGAAGGGCCCAAGTGATCCAGTTTCACCTCCCAGCTAGTTCTTTGTTGCCATGTGGCAGCCCAGTTAAATATAGGCAAATCTCAACACGACCTACAGAATAATGATGACATCCACAGCTGCATACACTGCACTGCCGATCGTCCAGAATCAGAGCCATTGTGGTCATGGTCCAGGTCAGAGACATTTTGTCAAGGCCGGCGCCCATGTGGCAGATCGTCCGAAATCGCCGTAAGACCATAAGCGCCCAGTGCATAATAATAGGCAAATCGAAGGCTGATCCTGGTTGATTCACTTACATACAAGAGGTCTGTTCAACGAATTCTATTTTGTATAGACCCTCAGAGTTTGGGGAGTTTGGGGGATGTTTGGGGATGTGTGTAGATAAGCACCCTCCGAACAGGCACACTGTTGACATCTGATGGGAAGAAAACATCGGGGAAATGCCAGAAGGTTCATGATGGTGAAAAATGTCAAGCTAGGTTTTTCCAAAGGTGCCCAGTGCATATTTGCTCCCGTTGCTCCAGGTATCATCGTGGACGATAAAAGTAAAAGATTGACCCCTACCCGAGTTGAACGGATGACCTTGTGGAATTACCAAAGCTCTGGAATCACACGCTCTACCACTGAGCTAAGGGGTCTATGAAGTTGGAGCAGTTTGAGTGTTCACAATCTGTTTGCTACCCATTTGCTCAACTGCCAACCTGAAACGCCCAACAAACGCCCAGGCGCCTTTCTCCTTTCTCTTCCTCGCCCTCAGGTTCTCAAGTACTGGTACCTTAACAAGCTGCCTTCTTTCTGCCCTGAGTCTTCTCCACAGGTCTAGAGGAAGCGAGAGGAAGCGAGAGGAAGCGAGGGGCATCCAGGGTACTTGGCTCGACTCGCAAAGTCGGAGAAGCCGCCATGATAACTATCATTGTGCATCGGATGCTCTTGGGCTCCGGTGGATGTAATCTAACTCACAGCCAAGTGAAAGCGAACAAGACCTAGTCCTAAGGAACAGAACCAAAGCCAATGGTCGTGTTCCTGCTCCTTGGAAACTGTGGGAGGGGGTTGCTTACGCGGAGTGCAACTGAAATTGCAGAAAGCAATGGCATGGACATGGCGTATTAACAGCCATAATGAGCTCTCCGTGACAAACGGCAGTCACATTCTACGCGTCACCGCCGGGGCTCTACCTCCAGCCGCTCTTCCGAGTGCTTCGATTCCCATCCGTTCAGCCTACCGGCACTTCGTCATTTAGCAACCCACCCACCCATCAGTGACATGCCGCAGATTGCACTTCGGGTTCGCGGACTTGGCCAACAAGCTTCCGAAAGTAGGTTAATCACGCACACCCAGAAGTCTTTCGCAAGACCGCAAAGTTACCGCACATACCGCCCGAAGCCACCCTGGTCATCCTGCGTCTTAAAGTACAGGACGCGATAACATATTAGTAGGTTCTCATTCATAACACCCTCTGCAGCTTTCTAAAGGCTAGCAAAATGGCTTCTCCAGTAGCAGTCCTGAACAACATCACCGCTGTCGATGTCTCGTCGCTGTTCAACCACATCAAGAGCCATTCTCCTTGCACTCTTGGGAGTGGGTGTCTTCCTTGTTGCTCTTCATGTCGAAGAAGTCTAAAGGAAAGAGACCTCCTGGGCCAAAGGGACTGCCTTTGGTGAGTAAATTCTCGCGATCTGGAGGATATACTTACGAATTCTCGATGTAGATCGGAAACATTCACCAAATGTCAATGGATGCATGGTATATCTTCGCAGAATGGAAAGAGAAATACGGGCCTCTAGTCAGCATCAACCTTGCTGGAAAGAATGTCATCATCATCAACAACTACGACGTCGCTGCAGACCTCGACAAGCGTGCTCAAATCTACTCTGATCGTAAGTCCTTCTAGTCCTGGACCTGCCTATGACTGCATTCGTTAAGCCCCTATCAGGTCCTCGATTCATCGTGTCTAGTGATCTCCTCTGCGGAGGTCTCTTCCTCGTCTTCACCTCCTACGGCGACCTATGGCGTCGCATGCGCAAGGCAGCACACGAAGGCTTCAACCCAACAGCCGCCAACAACTACCACACCCTCCAAGAAACCGAGGCCACTGTCCTCACCAACGGTCTCCTCGAAGATGGGGGAAAAGACTGGGACTGCCCACCTCCGACGTGCATCCGCATCGCAAGTCATGGCCATGTTGTATGACACGCCTCCGATCCTCGACCCCAAAACCGAAGTCATCAGACGTGTAAACGACCAGGTCGAGCGTCTTGTCAAAGCTGCCTACCCTGGTGAACACATTGTCGAGTTCTTGCCCTTCCTCAACAAGCTCCCCGACTTCTTGCACCATGGAAGCCCTGGGCCGCCGAATGGCATCGCAAGGATTCGGTACTGTTTGAGGGACTCTACAAGACGACTGCTGACCGAGTGGTGAGTTTCAAATTCAACCTTCTATAATATCTGTTCGGACTCTCATGCGTGTGCCTTCTACAGCTCGCAGGTGATGACCGACCAAGTTTGGTATCATCCCTCGGTAAAGAAGAAGGCTGAGCACAAGCTCAGCGATCGACAAGCTGCTTGGGTCGCCGGTGTCAACCTGTACGTCTACGTCTCACTTTTCCACTCTCTTTTCTGACCTAACATCGCTTCCAGTTCTGCCGGATCTGAAACAACAGCCGCTGCTATGGCCTGGTGGATGTTGGCCATGACGATGTACCCCGAAGTCCAACGCAAGGCTCAAGCCGAAATTGACGATGTCGTCGGTCGTGATCGTATGCCCACCATCGCTGATCTAGACTCGATGCCCTACATCCGCGCCATGGTTCGGGAGACTCTTCGATGGCGCCCTGTCGACCCTATGGGCCTCCAACATCAAACCTCGGAAGACGACGAGTACAACGGCTACTTTATCCCCAAGGGCACCTTGGTCATCTACAACGTTTGGTCCATGCACCGCGACACCTCAGTCTACGGGCAAGACGTCGACGAATTCAACCCCGAGCGATACCTCACCGCGGACGGAACTCAGCTCAAGCCCGTACACCCCGCCACCAAGGGTGAGGGCCAAGTCAGCTATGGCTTTGGTCGTCGTATTTGTGTTGGACGCTATGTTGCCAACAACACCCTCTTTGCCGATATCGCACAAATCCTTTGGGCATGCACCATCTCGCCAGCAAAGAACCCTGATGGAACGCTCATGACCTACGACAAGAACGCGTATATCAATGAGGGTCTCGTCGTGTAAGTCCTTTCTTTCCGATCTTTGATAAGGAGTGAGTTGATACTGATTTTTTATGTTCTCTACAGTCGCCCTAAGCCTTTCGTCAACTCCATCAAGCCTCGATTCCCTGGTGCCGCTGAGGTGGTGGCAGAAGAAGCTGAGCGCCTCGTTGCTGCTGCTAACGAGCGGTGATATCAAAACATTTGCATCATCCACCTTTACTAGACCGCATACGCCCTCTTATCCCATCTGTAATTTTAGGCACCCATGTTTTCGATAATTCCATCAGATTTTGGACTTTTAACTGCGGCTCTTTGGCATCTTGCGATACGATACAAAATGTTTATCTTGAGAGGAGGTTACAGGTGAGTTTACTCGTTTGAGCCCTTGGCAAAAGCCTACCTCCTGTTGTATGAATTGAAGGAATCATAAACTCCCGCCTTTGGGTGGGGAATCTTGAGTATTTCAACGAGACCTTTGAGCCCCAAGGGCTCGCTTCGGGCGTTTCATTGGCTGAAAGGTGTTCAGACCGTTCCACTTCAATGTTCAGTAGATTGGGGAGCAATCCAATGAGGCGACCCAACCCATCTACATCTGTAGCAGAGCGGCGCAGCTTGTTGAGGAAGCTGGCATCATGCTTGAATTCTACATCAGACAGTGATATCCCAACCGTTGAGCGCGATTCAAGCCTCAACACGGAAACTACTGGAAACTTGCACGAAGTGCAATACTGAATGAGCTGCGAGACGTCAACAGCATTCTATAGCTTTCCTCTGGCTGACTGCACACGTCACGCTACATCTAGACGTAATTTACAATAATGGATGAATTCCTGAAGAAATAAAACACATCAGAAACAGAACCCGTAATGCGGTGCGACGGTAAGGAGATCCCACCCAATGACCCACGGCGCTTCAATTCAGTAGTTGAGGAACCAAAGCCCCACTTGAAGGCGCTGTCAACATACCAGCATCACCCCAAACGGGACTCGACGCCTTTGGCACAATTTCCCTCAGCCACTGCTGATAGGATGCCATCTCTACCTGCCTCAGGTCAGGCAGCGCCCATTTGACCATCCACTCCGAGTTAAGGACTTCCTCTACTGTCGGTCGCTCCTCTGGTCGCAAGGCCAACATGCGCCGCATCAATTTCAAGATCGCCGCCGTCTCATCCTTCCCAAACTCCCCCATTTTTCTCTCTCGTCTAAACTTTGGACAGTTTCTTCGAAACACTGGTCGAGTGGCGGCCAGACCTCACGCTCTGTAGGTAGTCCCCCGTCATCAAAGAATTGGGACCTTTCCTCCCAAGCATCCCACCATTTCTGCGGCAAAGGACCCAGAGCATCGGCATACTGAACGATCACGTCCTCCGAATCCAAGACATAGGGTGTTATGACAGGCTGCATGCCAAGGATGTCCCATATCACAATGGCTAGGCTCCAAATGTCGGCTGAATACGACAGCGGTTTGTCAGGCTCGCAGTGTGCTTCTGGAGGTCGAAACGGATGTGGTGTGTGGCAGTCTTGCCCCAGACGGATCTCTTTGGCAGGGGCATATGACTCTCCAAAGTCGTTCAGAATGAGACGAGCTTCTGGGAGAAGCATCGTGTGTGCCTTGCCCCCTATGAAGGGAGGGAGAACAGCTTTTGCAGGTACGTTGGGCGGAAGCTCTTGGCCATCATACCGGCTGACATCGACAACGGCGGGTCCGCCATATTGTTTGCGGAATTGCTCAATCGAAAGGTTATTGAAAGAAGCAGGAAGAGCGATAAGCACGTTGTGAAGATGAATGTCTTAGTTGGCTGTTAGCCGAGGGAAATTAATCACAAAAACGGATACGAACCTCCATGAACATAACCCTGGGAATGCAGATATGCCACGGCCTGCACCAGTCCAGCGGACAGCGCTCGCGCAACGTCAAGCCTGAAAATGCGACAGAACGCCACGTCGTGTAGAGTGGCGCGTGCGGGAGGTGTGGCGTAGCAAGTGTGTCTTCCGTTGGGACCGTCGACTGTGAACTCATCCAGTATCTTGGGAAGGGAGTTCGGGCCTTGGTACTTGGATGAAAACAGTAGCGATGATGTGGAGATATCTTTGAGAACCTTGGTCTCGTTGGGCAGTGAATTTGCCACGCAGACTTTGAGCGCGACATACTGCTCCTGACGAGTATCCCGAGCAAGCCAGACGGTGGAATAAGCCCCGTGCCCCAGTTTATCCACGATGCGATATCGCCTATGTAGAACGTCTCCAAGATTGACGGGGTGATAACCCCCAAGCGCGTAGCGGTTGATGTCCTCTGCGCCATCTATCCAATGGTATTCCGACCTGGGTGGCTTTCTCGTTAGGGTCGATAGCGACGACTTCCTGCTCGCAAGAGGCTTAGATCCAGCTATTCCAGGCAAGGAAGTGGCAATGCGAAATAAGCTCATCATTGG